TGTTAAGTCCTGGGGGATCCATTGTCCTGAGTGTTGTGATAACTTGTAATTCAGCAATCTCCCATTCCAGTCTGTTTCTTTGCAATAAAACAGCTACTTTGAGGTCTCCCATTGAGTGCCCTTGGAGGTTGAAATTTAATCCTACAGGTTTCTCAGTTTTGTGGTTCTCGATGTCAGATTTCTGTCCATTTATCCTATGGTGTAGGGTTCGACCTGTTTGTCCTATGTAGAGAACTGTAGGTCATTGTTGGCATTTAATGGCATACACAATGTTAGAAGGTGAGTGTGAATAAACCTGAGATGGTGTAGCTGATGTTGTTAGGTCTAGTGATTGAGTTGTCTGGGTGTATGTGGCAGGAGAGTTTGCATCTGGGTTTATAGCAAGCTCTAGTACCAGCGTCCATGTTCAAATTAGATGTTGTATTATTATGGGTGAGGAGTTGTTTGAGATTGGGGGGACTGCCTGTGTGCAAGGTTTGCCGCCCAGTACTTGTGAAAGAGAACTGTTGTTATCCAGTAGCGGTTGTAAGCCGCTGATGATGTGTTGAACTGCTTTGAGTTGAGAGCTATATGTGACCACTAGTGGTATTCTGTTATTCTCTCTTTTGGGCCTGTCTGTTTTCAATGAATCTGAAGGCGTGTACATATACAAATACTATGTCTCTCAGTTCTCACTTATACAGAACTGAACTTTCTTTGTCTTGAAGGTGCCATTGGACTCAAACTTTGTTCTCACATCCGTTTATTAACTCTTGTATTTGTATGCTAATGTACTGCCCTTCACAGATCTTACCAACCGCCCTAATCCATTCTCAGATATAATCACCCAGTATTTATGCATCTTGACTCTAACTGGCTGTTCCTGCCAACCAGCCCCCCCAACCCCCTATATGTAATGGTTGCGGAAATTCTGTTTCACTGTATCTGAGGGAAGTGTGCTTGCACATGAAAACTTATACCGGGGTGTCAAACATGTGGAACTGGCTATCTTCTGCTTCTTCTTCCAGTTCTGCTGCTGCTGCGTCATTGTAGGTTTGCAGTTTACAGATAACGCACCTGAACAGCATACTCAGGATTGCAACAGCACAGATATTTTGATGCAATCATTCAGAGCAAGAGGTGCCAGTTATCAGACACTGTTAAATAAATAAAATATTGCAAGAGTGCTAATGTTTTAAGCATGTCTTTATTTTAACTTAAAATAAAAACTTTGTTCTCTTATTTCACAAAGTTTTCTTATCCAAACTCTTTGTGATTTAATACTTGTAGACCCAAAAGTCTCTTCTATGCTCTTAAGCATTTCTTTGGCTGTCTGGGAATTTTCAAACATGAGTCTCACTGTGATCCAATGATTCCATAATATTGTTCTTGGCAGTCCCATTTTTTATTATCTAAGAGTCCGATTCCTTGCCTTTGCCTGTTGGTTTTTCTACCTCTAGGATTACAGTAGCTTCTTTTGCTTCAAGGAGTATATGAAGCCGCTTAAGCCAGTTTGTATAGTTGTCAGCAGTACATTTTGGAATCTCCAGATAGCTGCTTGATTCAGCCATTTGTTCATCATCTTGACTCATTACGGTTCTAAGTCACCCGAATACCAGCCTGTCTGTTCCACCCATCACAAATACTTTCCTAGCCAAGATCACGTGGCCACCAAGATGATTATCCCCGTGTAACATCTGAGGCTGAACTTTGTATTGGATTTTTTATTTGAGAGCCAATTTTTGGCTGAAAAACAAGATTCAGGCACACACACACAGGCACACTTGGGTAACCAGCTTGGCTTGAATTGCCACACGGGTTTTTGACAATACTGATCTGGGTGGAGCTAATTAGAGAATCTCTTGTCATTGTCAAGCATTTTCTGATGATTAAATGTTGAATAAACCCATCACTGGAAAAGAGCCAAAAATAGTCTAGATAAATTCCTTCCAGGGGCTTCTTGCTGTGGTAAATTGAGAGTTTTGAAAGCAGATCCTACTCTGGGGCCAACACTGCCTCCCAACATTTTTGATCTGAACCTCTGTTTCAACTGCTTTTATCCACGCATTGATAGATGCTCCAGTTGTTCCAATTTACTAGTTTCCAATCTTTGTCCTTGTCCCTGTTTATAGCTTTTGTGGATGCCTTATTTTTATCAGTTGATATCTGAGTTCAGCTCCTTCCCTTGGACTCTAGAATTAAATCTTTGTGTGTGTGTGTGTGTGGGGGGGGGATTTCACACATCCATGGGGCTGCTGGATCTCGAGCTTTGGCCCTGAAGACTCTGTTTTAGGGGCTCATTCTTAGCACTTCAGAGTGGTTGAAATCTTGGCTCTCCACATAATTGGTTGGCTCCTACAACTTCAGGGCATGCTTGCTTGTAGGTAACCACATGGCAGCTGGAGATGGGAGACAACCACCACTCAGGCAGATTACATTTTGCACACAGTTAATCTCTGCATTATTTTTATGTGCTTGTTTCTTCAAAAGCTACCTCATTGTCTCCCATCTGGTATAACTCCAAGTGGTGTCTGGAAGGTATTTCTATTCAGTGTGATATACTCAGTGCCTGCCCTGCGACATGACCTTTGCTCCATAGGAGCAAATTCGGCACTTGAACACCTGACGCTGCCTCCTGCTGAGTTAGACCCTGGGTCTATCAAAGTCAGCACTGCCTGCTCTTGATTGGCAGCTCCACTTCCGGGATTCAGGCAGAAAGGTCTTTCTCATCACCTTCTGGTCTTTTTAGCTGGAGATGCTGGGACTGAACTTGGAACCTTCTCTGTGCAAAGCAGATACTCTACTGCTCAGCTGTGGCTCCTTCTAAACACCACAGGGGCAAGCTGAGTTGATTAGACCTAGCAGAGACCACTTATTTTGGATACAACCTGCAAAGGCATCACAACAGTTGTAGATGTGAAGGCCTAGGAAAGAAAACAAGAAAATCACCACCCCAGCATTTTTTTGGGAGTACTGAATAAAAATCTCATTTGAAATAGTTTATATTGGAATGAGTGAAATGCTTCTCTCTCTCTCTCTCTCTCTCTCTCTCTCTCTCTCTCTCTGCCACATCTCTAGAACCTGCATGAAGTGGCTCACAGCTAAAAAAATAAAATCCAAACAAACCATTAATAAACATGCCAGAGCATAAAAGCAGCATAAGCAATCTAAAATGGTATTGATACCACAGTACTCACGCTTCAAGCAAACAGTTTTTTAAAAACCCTTTAGTTAAAAGCCTGTGGAAAGAGAAGTATTTTGCCCTGGCACCTGAAGGCAGTAAGGCATGTTGCCAGGTGAGCCTCAAGTGGGAGGCCATTACAAAGGCTGGGTGACACCACTGAAAAGACCCTGTCTCTGGTTGCTACCTGCCTCACCTCTGAAGGCAGAGGCATAGACAACAGGACTTGAGAGGCAGATCTTAACTCACAGGCTGGGCAGTACAAGGGGAGATGACACTTCCCATCAAAAATGTGCAGCATGAACATTTTCATGTAAAGCAATCTACTGGATTAAATTAATATGTTATAATGTGTGCACTAATACATTCAATGGATGTTAAAGAGAACAAAAGGCACTGAGGGGGACTGAAAAAAGATGCTGTTGCGTGCTGAACCTGAAAAAGAGCTTAGTGAACTCTAAAGCTTTGGGAATGTTTTAAGTAGACTGACCTGTGATCTGGGGGGTCAGCAGCTGAATAGCAGCAGCCCTAAGCAGAGTTGTACTCCTCAAGGCCCATTGACACAAATGGATTTAGAAAGCTATAACCCTGCATAGGATGACACTGTAAATGGTCTTAACACCTCCCCCACCAAGAGATATACAGAGGTAAGAGGTCTACATTACAAGGTTATTGTAAGGATATGCGACTGCTAATAAACAAATGTTTTGAATGCTCAAAGTGATATAAATACATATAATTATATATCGACAAACACAAAAATTATTCTTTATAAATGCAAAGTATTGTTTTATATCTATATTAATGCAAAATATTATACTTGTCAAGTTTTTACTTGTATATACACATCCTCATGAATATATATATATATATATATATATATATATATAATACAATATACACAGACGAAAAAATCCATGTAATACATATGTATACATATATATGCAAAGTACTAGAATTATAAATGCTAAATATTGTTATTGTAGGTCCTGATGGTCAGCCTTGTATTAGTTTGAACGTTACCTGCCATTTCAAGGTATCTGAAGAAGTGTGCCTTGCACACGAAAGCTCATACCTTGAATAAACCTTTGTTGGTCTTAAAGGCGCCACTGGACTCTGAATTTGTTCTGCCCTTACTGTAGTGATGCAGAGCATTATATATAGTGTTTATAAATACATATCAAATATACGTTCATAATGATATATAGTATATGTGATGTATCTTCGTATATAACTATGTGATGTAATTGTAATACACGCCCACGTACGTAAATTAAAATGATGCCCTTTCTTACCACTCTGATATTATATATAATATTTAACTGTATATATGTAATTTAGAAAGGGTGGACCTCAGCTGCCCATTATAGCTCAAAGCTTCTGCAATACATCGTGTCCAATTTTTCAAAAAAATTAAAAACGAGAGAGATGGGAGAGGTGCTTTATAAAACCCAAACCTCTGCTTTGCGCTAGTCTCCGCGAGCGACCCCGATTGGTCCGCTCGACCCATCCATCACGCAGCTCAGGCCCGCCCCCTCTCGCGCGCGTTCCCTTCCTCCCCCCCTTCTCCTTACCACCTCCCCTTTTCTTCTGCGGGAGAGCGGATCGGCCGCCGATTGGCTGCCGGCCGGTGTCACTCCGCCGCTTGGCCCCGCCCCGCCTCCTCAGGTAGCCCGGAAGATGGCGGCGAAGAGAGGGGCTGCTGCTACCGCCGTCGCGGCCGGCCGGGTGGCGTGAGGAGGGGCGCCGAGCGAGCGGGGCTGGTTTCTCCCCCTCTCTACCACCTTTTGGCGGGAGCCGATGCGGGGGCCCGCGGAGTCGCGTGGGCGCAGGGCGGCCGCCGGGAGGCCTGGCGGAGGGCGGCGTTGAGGAGCTGGCGGGAGAGCGAGGGAGACGGGCGCTGCTTGGCCGCGGCATGCGCGGGAGGCGCCGGCGGCGGGGGGACTCGCCCCCGTGGTCCGGCCCGAGGCTGGCCGCCCGGCTCGGCTTCTTCCTCCTGCTGCTCTTGGGAAGCGGCGCGGCGGCCGTCCCACTTCCGCACGCAGGTGCAGGTAAGGCCGGTCGGCGAGCGGGGAGGGGAGGGAGCGGGGCCTCCCCCCCCACCTTAAGGCTGGGTCATGTACGGTAGTGGGCGAAAGGGCACGGCTCGCGTGACGCGTTGTCTGACGAATCCGTGTGCGCTTCCTCCAAAGGGAGCTCCGGGCAACCTGCCTGGTACCTCTTCCCTCTTCATTCTCAGTACGACGACCTTGTGAAGTAGGGCAGGGGGAGAGGGAATGGCTGGTCCGAGGTCGACCAGTGTGCATCATGGTTCTCTCTCTCCTCATTTGATCCTCACAACGACCCTCCTCATTTGACCCTCGCAAGGATGCTGTGAGGTAGGGTAGGGTAAGAAGGAATGGCTGGTCCAAAGTCAACCAGAGTGCATCATGGTTCTCCACCCTCCTCAATTGATCCTCACAACGACCCCGTGAGGTAGGGCAGGGTGAGAGGGAGTGGCTGGTCCGAAGTCTACTAGTGTGCATCATGGCTCTCTCTCTCCTCATTTGATCCTCACAATGACCCTGTGAGGTAGGGCAGGCTGAGATGGAGTGGCTAGTCCAGAGTCAACCAGAGTGAATCATGGTTCTCCCCCCTCATTTGATCCTCGCAAGGATGCTGTGAGGTAGGGTAGGGTAAGAAGGAATGGCTGGCCAAAGTCAACCAGTGTGCAGCATGGTTCTCCCCCCTTCATGTGAGAATGTCTGTTTTATCAAAGCTTGGGAATAAAAGGACTCCCTACAACCATTGTCATCCTCATGCAGCTGTTGAGTTGGTTATGGGGAGACGGCTTGCAGTTCCCTGTGTTACACAAAGGGCTAGAAGGGGCTGGAATAGCCGCATCTAAAGCTTCTACTCTTGGTAGCAATAAAAGATTTAGGAGATTAAAAAATCCCTCCATCTAGTCTTCAGTAAAAATCCCAAACCCTCAATAAAATTCCCTAATTTTGAATTCCTAATATAATAGACTAAATGCTGTTTAGCATCTTTTAAGGGCTAAAACAGTTTGTGCTATTTTACACCTGCTAGGGCCAACGCCCCAGCTAGGTGTCTTTCTACTTCTTGCGGGAGGAGCAGCTGCAAGGTCAGAAGCCACCATAAGGAATGATAATAAAAGATAATAAAAATACTCATCTTAAAACAGCCCTCTTAACTAAGCACCTGCCAGAAGGCTCACGGACAGCCTAATCAGAAACAACAAAAAATAAATAACAAAAAGAAAAGAAAACAAGAAAAAGAAAAATCAACTCAGACACAGCCTAATGAATAGTCAGAAGGAATAAAAAAAAAACACCTAATGATATAATAATCAAGACATCATAAATAAAAAAGCAGAAAGCTGTCAGACTTATAATCTATCTCACCCCACCTTTGCCTGAAGTCTCCCAGTGACTTGCTTAACCAGGCCTGAAGTCCTCACCCAGTGACTTCATCATTCTTCCCTTCTCATTTGATCTTCACAACAGCCTTGTGAGGTAGAGTAGACTGAGGAAGCTTGGCTAGCCCCAAATCACCAAGTGTGTTTTATGGTTCGCCCTTTTGTTTGATCCTCACAACACCCTGTGAGGTAGATGGGGCTGAAGGAGAGCGACTGACCCCAAATTGGCCAGTATATCTGTTCATTGCTGTCTTTTCCTATGTTTTATTCTCACAACATCCTTGTGATCTAAGTTAGGCTGGACCAAGGATAACCAGTAAAATTCACAGCTGAGTGAGATTTTGAACCTGTGTGCCTCTGGTTTGAGTTTTATCCCTGACCTCACTGGTTCTCTGTTCTATGACTACACAGCTAAAAGAATAAGTAACATTTTTTTTTTAATATAAGAGCAAGATCTAGGTATCTCCACAGTGCAGATGAAGAAGTAGATGCGTCATGTTTGCTGTGGTGCCCAGCTGGGCAGGTCTCTGGGAAATCCATGGTCAGAGCTCCTGTGACTGGATCAGGAAAGAGGCTTGGGGCGGGAGGGGGAGATGACCTGCTTCCCATGTTTTTTCCTGATCTAATTCCTGCCTCCCAAGTTGTTCCCCTTCACATTGCTGGTGGAGGATGATGGAGAGTCGGCTTTCAGAATGCTTCTGTGTCTAAAAATTCCCTCCAAACAGAAAATCAAAGTACCACCATGTATATATATACATACTTTCGATTTATTGATTGCTTTTTCCCACACACCTGTGGGCTCAGAGCGATTTACAATTATGACAGTTGGACTAACAATACTCATGGGGGATAGGGAAGACAACATACAGTATTTTTTTAATTACACACACATTGTAGCTGGCCGGGGATTCATCTGCGAGCTGGATCAGTCGTGTTCCGACAGCATGTATTCTTGTCGGTTGGCTGATGACGTCAGGGCTTCTTGATGTCGCGCTGCCACACTGCCATTGCCTGGCCGACCTACTCTACTGCAGGGATGCCGAAACAAATCTTTCAGCTTTTGATCTTGCCGTGCCACAGAAGTCACACTCGGCAGCTAACACCTTCCCAAAGGGAGTGGTGTGCCCACCCCATTACGGGTGGTCCCCAATTTATCTACTTGCTGAAGCTTTCGAATCGCTGGGTAGACGATGAGCTAGGACAAGGCTTGGTTGCTCACACCAGCACGGGGCTAGAACTGACAAAGCTTGGCAGTTCAGATGTTATAGTTAAGCAGGGGAATTATCCCCTGTGCCACCGCTCCCAATGGGGATCGTTTTCTACAGATGGTTTTTTAATATGGAGAAACATTCGAAGCGGGGCGGGTGTCCGTTCTTCCTGTGCATGGGTGATAGAAAGTGCTGTCACCTCACAACAGACTGAGGTGGTTTGCCATTTCCTACCTCTGTGTAGCAATTCCTGGTGGTTTCCCATCTAAGGACTAATCATGACTGACCCTGCTTAGCTTCTGAGATCTCACAAGGTCAGGCCATCCAGGTCACGGCATTATTCACTTGCACCCTCAGTTACCATTCTAATCGGGCCACCAAGTCCCACCCTATGTGTGTTCACTTGTATTTTCCTGAAAACCTCATGGGGTTTTCCAAGCAAGAGATGTTCAGAGGTGGTTTGCCATTGTCTGCCTCTTGTGTAGCGACCCTGGACTTCCTGGGTGGTCTCCCATTCGATACTAACTAAGGCTGACCCTGCTTGGCTTCCAAGATCTGATGAGATCAGGCTAGCCTGAGGCGCATTGCCAGCTCCTTCTGCAAGTATCACCCAAGACAGCAAAACAGACATATAAATGTCCACAGGTCTACGGCAAAGCATGTCTGCTTCCCTCCCTGTGAAGGTGGTCTCCCAGTCTGAACTGAACACTGTTCTGGTGCTGTGTAGGTATATGACAGAGATGGGAAGCATACTACATGGTGACCGGACAGTAGTTTTCTCACTGAATTCAGTTGGAACTGCTGCGTAAATAAGGAAACAGGAAGTGCAGTTTGTCTTGAAGCTACGCCTGTGTTACCTGCCTGTGTACTGAAAATAAAAAAGCTATTTTTTCAGAAGAACATTTTCTTTCCCCCTGCTTTTTACAGAAATGCCTTACAATTTACAGATGGGCATATCACTTTTCTGTGCTTTATATTCACTTGGCAAACTTGCCCCTCTCTTGACTCAGTACTAGGAAGGAGGGTGAGGCCCCTATGTCTTTAGTAGCTGTGTGAAAGATGGCATTTCAGTAGGTATAGAGTTTGTCTGGTGGGGGGGGGCTGCAGGAAGCTGCACTAGCTGAAATTCTGCCAATTGTGCAGCTGTAAAGGGGTAGGATGTCTTCTGCATTTGGACCACCACCGGCAGTCTTCACAAGCTGCTGCAGTCGATCTCTGCTGCTTCATCCAAACTGTTGGCTTCTGCCAGCTGTCCAAAGGGCATTTTCACATGACGCTGAAAAGCACCTTTGAGCCTTTCTTGGTGCTGTGGGTGCAGTTAATGGGGAATAGGAAATGAAAAGTATCTTTCAACTGATGTTTCTGTGCCACAGGCACAGAACGTACGAAAAGTGCCCCTTGGAGGAATTACTGCAAAAGCTAACATTTATTAACTGATCCACCTTAATGGGTTCTGAGAGGATCAAATGGGAAACGGGGTTGCTCAGGGAACAGAATCGGTGACCGCAATAGCCTCTAAGCTTGGACAGAGTGCTTCATAGTAGAAGGAGCTCAGTTGACCATGCATCTGAATTAGGAAAGGAAGCGTTCAGGTTAGATGTTATGACTTCCATACAGGATGGAGTCCCAAGTGTGTCTCTTCAGAATTCTGCTCGGGGAAAGAATAAGTGATGGGAGGAAGATTAGGGAGATGAAGCCTGCCATCAAAGGGTGTGTGGAAGATGAAAGACCATATGCTTTAGAAACAAGATTATACCCTCCCAGTCTGTCATGGAATGATTACCGCCACCACCCCATATTCTGCTACCCCTTAATGGCTCATGTAATTTGAAATCCCCACTTTGGATGAAGGTATCTGAGAAAGAAGGTGATGGCTGGGCGAAGGCAAAGTGCTAGGTCAAAGTTGGAGGAGTAAGCGGGGATGTGTTGATGCGGATGAAATGTGCGAAGATGGAGTCAGTGGAATGACTGAGCAAAGGTATCCTTGTATAGAACGGCTGGTCTTGTCTCTGGATTAGAGCAGAGTAGAAATCCTTCATTATGGCTTTTCCCCTTTTGAATATTGCTTTTATGTTGCGCAGCGCCTGAATTCTTCAGAAAAGAATTTGTCACCTCTGCACTCAAGAGTTCCACTGTTAGCTAGGATGCTTTTTTCAAGTGTGTGTGTGGGTAGGGGGTTGAGTTGGGGTTATGTTTTTTTGGGCACAGCACATGTATTTGTGTCAGGCTGAAAGATGTAAGATATTGTTTCTGCTTATGCGGCAGCCTTTGAGCGGCTTCCTTGAGACCCATGATTTATGTGGTTCATTCATGTACCCCCCCCGCCTCCCCCCCCCCTCTCACACACACCGCTTTGAGATTCCTCTGGGGTTCTTCCTTGCCTGAGACTTGCATTTTGGGCTTGGGGCCCATTCTATGTTGCAGA